GCTGCTGGTGCCATTTTCCAAATGCTATGATGTTGGTTTACCAGCGGCAGCGCAGCGGTGGCACAGAACCGTGGGCATGGCCACACCTCGAAATAGTTGGGGGAGAAGGATCAACCTCTCCAAAGGTGTGTCCTTTGCGTGACACGGTGGGTGGATGAAAAGGCCCTAGCCTTTTTCGAAATTCTTTATGCCATGCGTACGTTACACCCCGTTGGTAACATTGCCCGGTCCGGAAACTGGGAGACTTTTTTGTGCCGTTCGTGGACAGGTCACTCCTGTTGCCCAGTCCGAGAACTAGCCTACGTCTTTGCCCATTCCGCGAACTGGCCGATGTCTTTGCCCATTCGCGAAATGGCCGATGCTCTTGCCCATTCCGCGGACTGGCCGGTCAAAGGTCTCAAAATTACGCCAACGGCGACTGTCGTTACTTTTAAACGCAATCCATCCCATGCGCTAATCGAAAAATGTCCTCCACTAACTGACTTCATGACGAATTGTGCGCGAGATTTTGAACAAAACTTAAAAATATCAAAACGATCCATAGGTTATGTTAAAAACATTTACAACTGATTTCTTTTAAAATTTTTCTCGAAAGTTTTTTTAGATAGAACGAGATGTTAAAACTTTGCTTAGATTTTCAGAATCTTAGATGTGCGTGTTGCATATTTAAAAATTGGAGGCGTCTCCGCTTGAGTCGACTGTAGCGCCTTGATGCAACTATTCGTGTTCCACGGATGTGCGTGTTGCGTGTTCAAAATTGAAGGCACTTTCGCTTTTCACGCTTCTTCAAAGACTCACAGAACACGTCAGTTGTAGCACTCTAATGGCAGAGTACCAATAAAGTTAGAGTATTACTGGCTATTGACACGAGAGCATGAGACTAGGTGAATCGGTCATTTTTAGGAAGATTTAAGCGCCAGACATGATAACACGAGAAAATCATTGGAGACTCTAGTAAACAACCCGTTTTAAATCGTAGATTAATTAATAATGTGATTAAATAATTCATTGCTTTCATTTTTTAGAGCTCGGGTCTATTAAAACGTGTTTTGCTGTTTTCCTCCTATTATAATTTCTGGTGCCTAAGTCTTTTTTAGAATTACCGAACAAAATTGATGATTATCTTCACCTACTTAATTCACAGACTGGGTTAAAACATGAGCAAGTTCTCTCAGGTTGAGCGATGAGGCAAACCTTCGCAAAACTACTTACGTAAATTATCTCCATGAAAACTAGCAAGAAAAAAATTGTTCATCACTTTTGGCTCCCTAGAATCAGTTTATACCAATTGAAAATTTATTCTTCGGAAAGGCCAGGGGTACAAGGGGGACAGGACGAGAGATCGATCCGGTCATGCAAAAATAAGGAGGTAGCACTTCTTTTTATGAATGACATTATTGGGTTAACACATTATTCATTCAGAGGGAAACTGCTAGCGCATTGCTTTAAGCAAAGAAAACCATGAACTGTGTGTTTGATGCAAAGGAAATAGTGAAGCCAGCAGTCTTATGTGGACAGCAATGTGGAGGCTGCTTCAAAAAATGTGAAGGAAAAAATTTTCTGCACCCCTGGAACAGGCCACAGTCAGTCACTTGAACTAGAGCTCGCTCATGGTATATTGAGACAAATGTCACAGTGTTGTTTAAGGTCACCCCTCTCATTGTCAGAGGTCTGCATGCATTAACCTATTGAGGGGTGCTAATTCAGAGCTAATCAGCATAGAGAAAATACAGAAGGTGGTGGCAAGCGGAGAAATGTACTTTTCTACGTCACAGCTAAAAATGAAGCCGCCCTTTTGAGTTGGTCAATGGTATCGCCGGAAAACTGAGACCTTTTTGAAAAATAAAGGGAGCGGGGAAGGTTGTGAGTTTCCCACTTACTTTGGCTCGGAAAACTCATAATTATTGACTTTTTATGTTTCAACATGTTTTTTTTACCAATGTTTGACTGTAACTGAAAATAATTTTTAAAGTGAAAAATATATATTTCATATACTTAATAACAACTTTTATCTTGACTCATCCCGTTTGGAGGGTATAAACATGTTCAATTACTTTCTGTACGTCAAAAAAGCAGAAATTGGAGGGTCATGGTAACCAAAGTTCAAATTTATGACTTTCAATGTTAGATTCAGTGGTGATGTAGGCCTTTACACAGGTTCCGTATGGAAATGTACTTTTTTTTTAAAACGCTGCCAGTCCGTGAAATTTTCTACTTTACAGCCAATCTTCAAGATGGCTGCCTTGCACCTTCTTTATTTTCTTAATGCCTAATCAGAGGTTAACGTTCGTCTCCAAATACGATGCGCAAGCTCTACTTCAGCAGAACTTGGGAAGTTTGGTTCGTTAACGAAGCAATGCAGGTTTCAATTGATGGAGCAGATTTAGAATGAGAAATATGTAGGAATACAAATGCACCATGAAATTCCAAATTACTTATATGTGTTGATTATCCGTAAGGAAAAGAAACATGATTTGCTAGAATAAGGTAAGTCCTCGTGCTAGGAATAGCACTCAATTTAAAGTATTAATGGGGGTGTGAACAAGGGTGTGACATCCTCAAGATGAGATTTTACCATGTGTACTTCCTATAGCTCATAAATGGTATACTTGGACAGAAGTTTATTCCAGCTTGAAACAATTCTTGTCAAGCAGTCCCTGATAGTGTACGCGTTGGCCTGCTGAGTAGTTCTGACTTCAGGGTATTCAGCAATCAACTTTCATCTAAACATGAGCTGCACAAACTCTAGATAGGAGCTGATGTCTGAAATAGCAGTTGGTGCTTACCGAATGAATTACTGAAGGCTTACAATTTGTAATGGCTTGGAGGCAGATGAGTATAGGACAGAGGGGCTTCTCTCTCCTGAGGTTTGAATGACTGAGGCAAGAAAGGCTCACAATGGTGTTAAGGATTCAAGGAATAGCTAATTTAAAATATCTAAATTCACGTCACTGGAAGGCAGGCACCAGTTTGTTATGAAGCGAAAGAACCATCAAATCGTCGGTAGGCTTTGCTGGAAATTGTTATAAATTCACATGCAGTGGAAGCCCCCATAATTTAATGAATACAGCGGTCAGAAATCGAACTTTCCATCAGAAATAACATGAGTTATCCAGTCAAGATAAGAGCATATTAAAATACTTAAAGAATTTGAAACATTGATGTTTACAAACAACATTCAGTCGATGGTGGGTGACAAAAGACATAGACTTTAGCAATGCAGCGAAAGCCTGCTGATGAAAGTTGCTTGGAGCATACAAGTTTGGATAACAGGTAGCAATGCAAAAATATAATCAGCAATTAAGATTGAAAACAATGCAACTAATAACAAAATAAAAATAAAATGTGGTGGAAAAGAAAAACTGAAATACCTTCGAGCAGGCAGGTTATGGTAAAACACTAAAACAACAAACACTCACACGAAAGAAAGAAAAATTAAAACTGGTAAAAAGCAAACGGGGTAAACTGAAAACTAGAAATTTCATGCAACAATACGGCAGCAAAACAAGTCATAGTAATTATCCACTGAGGTCAATAATCGCCATTTAAAAATTCTAGGGATGTCTAGGCGATCAGAAGACCACAACTACAGTTCAACGTAAATTACTTTCTCAGGAAATGGTGAAGAGCGCAGCACCATTCAACAAATAGCTAAAGTTGGAACTGCTTACGCAAGAGCGCAGCACTGCACTGGGCTAACAGAAAATTTGAATTAAAAATTTTCCCGCGCATTCATTTCTTTGAATGGTAGAACATGAAAGAAATAGTCTATTTCTTTCATGGGTAGAATCAGCAATATTTTCTGATTTTCCTCAATGCTTTGTTGGAGACACAAATTCATTCTGAAAGATCTATGGCAAAACGCACGCCAGCTGCAATGACAGTCAAATGCTTCAGGATACAAGGAAGCCACTTGACACGAGCAGTGGCATGAATCACCTTACTTGGATGCGGTAAGTAACTATTATCTCGGGCTCATTTTAGAAACAACATATCGACGGTGAAACTACCAAACCACGTATCTCGGTTTGCGACGTCGCAGACTTCCTGTCATACTTTATTTTTTAAATGAAAAACTACTTAACGTCTAGTCTTGAAAATTTCTGTGATTTTTCCTCTTCGTGCGGAGAAAATTCTGTGAAAATTTCAAGGAATGATATTAATTTGGTCTACTTCAAAAAAATAAAATGTGAGCGTAGATTTTTTAACACCGCAAACGAGATACGTGGTTTGGTAGTTTCACCGTCGATATGTGCCGGTAAATTTCCAGTACAGGTAGGTGCTTTTATGGGTGGGTCAAAAGAGTAGCTTTTGATAATAAGAGAAGGTCCATTTGAAACTTATTTTTGGCAGATCATAATAATATCTGATGTGCGAAATATTTGTAAGAGGAAAACTGGAGTGGAAAAATTGTACGTTTTTTGGAACATGTATTGAATAGTGCTTTGAATTACTGATTCAGTGGGACAAAAGATTTCTCATGTACCAAATTTACAATATGAGTTGATCAAACATGTTGTGATTAAAGACTTCTAGAATAATCTTGAGAATACAAAATAAATTTGAGAGAAACCTTGATGCTATTCCTTTCTCTTTATATTTATTTTAAATTACACTTGGAAAACATAAGCTGAAGCTTTTCAGGACAACTATCATCAGGGCTATTACAAACAAGGGACAACACATGAAAATATATTCCTTTATATTTATGTAAAGTGCATTGTTTCGGAAAGCTCTGATGATGGGATTTGAAGTCCTGAGAAGCTTCTGGTCATGTTTTCCAACTGTAATGTAAAATATATGGAGAGAAAAAATGGTTTGTCTCAAATTTATTGTGTAATCTTTGATTGGGCTAAAAGTTAGCCCCCTACCCAAAAAAAACTATTTTAACAGGAATTTAATCTGATAAGCAGAGAACAAGATGTAAGAGCAAAGAAAAAGTAAGAAAAAAAAACCAACCAAAATGTTTGTTGTTGTTTTGTATTTATAATTTAAAAAACAAATTAGAAAATTGGGCAAGTATTTACAAAAAAAATATGGATATTAAATTTAAGCGTAGTAGTTAAGGCTAGTTTTCTTCTTGGCTTGAACTTCAATGATGGCTTCCATAAAATCTTCATGTGTTACAGTGGAAGCACCTCTACGCAGAGCAATCATACCCTGAAACAAACATCATTGAAAATTATCGAACAGTCTTCTTGGACATAGAAATTAACATGATTAGAAAATCACAAAACTCAACTGTCGTGTTTCAAAATTTTTACTTCTACTTTCTGACATTTTTTGTGAGAGAACGAGATAATATAATTTTATTGAAATTTTTACAGAATATTCAACATAAAGAAAAAGAACTAAGGAACTTTTCCAAAATGATGTTGAAAAATTTGACGCTTCGAAAATAGAAGGCAGGACATTTGCATCAACAAAAACAGACAAGTTTCCTGTACTTTCCAAAGGCAAATACATTATTGTGATTGCCCCTGATACCTCAGCCCTAGACCTTCAAAATAATATCAATCAAAGAACGTAGACTACCAATATGATACGCTGTGTAGATTCTTCTTCCCACAATATATGTGTCTTTATGTACTGATGGATACCTAGACTATTGATCACATTTAGCATTGGTCTTATGGGTAACAACACCTAAGATCAACAAACCAGGCATATACACTAAAACAATTTATTCCTTCAAAATGGGCTGAAATACCAATTTTTAAGATTAGATGAGATTAGGTTGAGGAGAATGTAAAGACTATACTTACAGCTTCTACACAAACAGCTTTACACTGAGCTCCATTGAAATCATCTGTTGAGCGAGATAGCTCCTCGAAGTTTACATCCGGACTGACATTCATTTTACGAGAGTGAATTTGCATAATACGTGCTCGAGCCTCCTCGTTGGGATGAGGAAATTCAATTTTCCTGTCTAGACGTCCACTACGCAATAGAGCAGGATCTAGGATATCGATACGGTTTGTGGCAGCTATCACCTGATCAAGAAACAAGCAATATATGATAGATAATTAGAGACAAGCATCATATAATAGTAGGGATGAGTTACAGCGGTTTAATAAGCAAAATGAGACTTTACACATTAACCACCGCGACATCGCGGCAAATACGCGATGTTTCCGTCAGTTTAGTAAAATCATCATAATTTACACATTAATCACCTCAGTATCGCAACATGTACGCAAAGAGCCGTATGCAAAAACGACATTTTTCGCCCCCCCCACTAAAACTTATTCAAACTTCGTCTATCAGTTACTAATACTGGAGCGCTTCTTTCCCCAAATTTTTAGACCCCCAAAAAATTTTGGGGGGGCGCTAGGGGGGGTGGAAGTCAAAACCTGCGACACTCGATATCTTCCGAACGAAACAAGATATTGAGGCCCGGTTTGGACGAAAAATCGTCTAAAATTGCATACTTTAAGATTCTAAAGGTCAAAATCCCAAAATTAAATTTTTAACTTAACTTATGTGCTTTTTTTCAGTTTTTGAGGAAAAACAATTTCTTTTAAACAGATTAAACTGAAATTTCACATTTTTTGATTTGAACCAAAACCAGTATTTTAAATTGTTCGTCTTTTTCCGCATCCAACGAGTGGTCGTATAAGCTGGGGAACCGAACGGTTCCGGAGTTATGATCGATTGAAGTTTCCGCTCAACGCGCGCCGACCGATTTTTGCGCGCAAAAAAGTCGGATTTGACTGTTATCAAATCAGATTTAATGTTCAAACTGAGCAAAATGCATTATTAGGGACTTTTGAGGGTCGCTGAGTCCAGAAATTACAGATACTTCCAAAAAATTCACGTTTTTAAAATTACAGCTTCGTACAGGACCACTGAGCGGCCGGTCGGCGCTCAGTGGGCCTCTAAAATAGCGCTACGGAGCTGTAATTTTAAAAACGTGAATTTTTTGGAAGTTTCTGTAATTTCTGGACTCAGCGACCCTCAAAAGTCCCTAATAATGCATTTTGCTCAGTTTGAACATTAAATCTGATTTGATAACAGTCAAATCCGACTTTTTTGCGCGCAAAAATCGGTCGGCGCGCGTTGAGCGGAAACTTCAATCGATCATAACTCCGGAACCGTTCGGTTCCCCAGCTTATACGACCACTCGTTGGATGCGGAAAAAGACGAACAATTTAAAAAACTGGTTTTGGTTCAAATCAAAAAATGTGAAATTTCAGTTTAATCTGTTTAAAAGAAATTGTTTTTCCTCAAAAACTGAAAAAAGCACATAAGTTAAGTTAAAAATTTAATTTTGGGATTTTGACCTTTAGAATCTTAAAGTATGCAATTTCAGACGATTTTTCGTTCAAACCGGGCCTCAATATCTTGTTTCGTTCGAAAGATATCGAGGGTCGCAGGTTTTGACTTCAACCCCCCCTAGCGCCCCCCCAAAATTTTTTGGGGGTCTGAAAATTTGGGGAAAGAAGCGCTCCAGTATTAGTAACTGATAGACGAAGTTTGAATAAGTTTTAGTGGGGGGGCGAAAAATGTCGTTTTTGCATACGGCTCTTTCCACAGGTTGATTGAAAACATTCAGAATCACACGATTTTCACCTCATTATCGCGGAAAATTCGGAAATTTTACATCGATGCGAGCGTAATGTCCATTTACAGTCAGTAATTTGAGATAGGCAAAAAAAGATTTTCCTTCAATATCATATATCTACTACGGCGTTCGAATAGTTGCTCTCTTCATTTCCATCTCTTAAAAAGTGAGAAATACGCGAATTTCTTCCTGAAAAGTGCCGGATATTCTGTGCATCAAAGTTTCTTCTTTCTTCTTTTGCGGGTCCTCTTTTTAGATGGCTAAGGATCTGTATCAACCGATTTCTAAACTTAAAAAATTGTGAAATATTGATGTTAAAAAAAAAAAAAAAAAAAAAAAAAAAAAAAAAAAAAAACCATACTCACTTTGATATCAGCTGTTGAACTAAAACCATCCAACTGGTTAAGGAGTTCAAGCATAGTTCTTTGGACCTCTCTGTCTCCAGCTTTTTCAGAGTCGAATCTCTTCGTTCCAATTGCATCCAACTCATCAATGAAAATAATTGCTGGAGCTTGATCCTTGGCTAGAGCAAAAGCGTCTCTTACCAACTTTGCACCGTCTCCGATAAACATTTGAACCAGCTGAGGACCGGCTAGTTTTAAGTAACAGGATTTGGTCTGGGCAGCACATGCTCTGGCCAGCAAAGTTTTACCTTAGAAAATAAAAACACAGGAAATTGATTAAAAATTATGAAAAGGAAAAAAAAAACGAAACCAGACAAAAACCTGAGTGAGCTCCCTTCAAGAAATAACTAAAATTCTTAAATCTAGTGTATCTTTTAATTGGATGGAAGATTTTCACTGTGCACAGTACAGAACTAGAACCACCAAATATAGACTCAAATTGCCATGAAAGATCCGAATAAGGTGCTGCAAAATAGGAATTTTTCCAAGGGAAAACAGGAATGGTAGCTAGGAATTCCAGAAAAAAATCTATTTCTTCTAAATATCCAAGGGAACACAAAAGTAACTCAGTAAACGATCTGAATTTGAGTCGTAACTGGGTATGCTCTTGAGAATTTCTTTTCCAGACTGATCGGGTAGATACATTATTCTTGTGATAATCCAAAAATTGATTCACAATAATGGTGATATATCGCATGATTGATTTGTGATGGTTCAAATCAAAGCAAACAAACAAAAACTCATGTCCAAATCCCTGGTGAGAGTTAATTGAGTTGAGTCATTAAAATTTTATCATTAACAAGTCATATATTTTTACCTTATGAGCAATGGTTATAATTCTGTATTTTGAAGCTACCAATGAATGATAATAATACAGTGGAGCCCGTATATAACGAAGTTCACGGTTCCCAGAAAAACTTCGTTATATCCGGAACTTCGTTAAAAGCGGACTCTGTGGGAAAATTCGGGAAAAATTACACAAAAAAAATTGCAAATATACAGATTCAATACTTGTATATTTTGATCAAAAATACACAATCTGCTCTCTGGGCGAGTTCCGCTCGCTTGCGGTAAAACATGTGACAGTCGCGGAGTCACGAAGTTACGAATAAAAGAGAATGAGCAATAACGAAGTGAGCGCTCACTGCGCAGCTCGCCGCGCATGTCTCACACTGCACTCTCTCCTCTCTCACACTTGCACGCGTATTCGTAACTTCGTGACTCCGCGACTGTCACACGTTTTACCGCAAGCGAGCGGAACTCGCCCAGAGAGCAGAAAATACCGAACACAATAGCGGAAATGGCGGCAAATTACTTCGTTATATGCGAGGTGCCACCGCCGAGACTTCGTTAAAAGCGGGCTTTTTTATTATTGAGTGTATAGGGAGGTTCTAGGGGAATGAAAATTACTTCGTTATATCCGAAACTTCGTTAAAAGCGGGTTCGTTATATACGGGCTCCACTGTAATAATAAAAAAGTCATATATTACTTACTAACTCATTTAACACATGAGAGTCCAATTGGATGAAACGCCTGAATGCATTTCACCACTATGGTGCAAATATGATACCGTTACCTGTGTGTCTGTTTACATTTGAACCATAAAAACTGTGATATGAAACTATGATGTGGCCACTAAATCAGTGTATTCAAAATCAAAATTGAAAATGATAGGCCATAAATGCTGATCAGGGAAAGAATTGATGTAATGATAAATACAAGAGTTACCTGTTCCAGGAGGTCCATAGAGCAGGACTCCCTTGGGTGGCTGAATACCCAAGTTCACGAATTTTTCTTTGTGAGTCATCGGTAAAACTACTGCTTCTATCAACTGAAAAACGGGGCATACATTAGGTGATTAAAAATGCAATTTTGAGAATAAAATACATTTTTAGTTTATTTTTCTTCTTTCCATGACTTTACTTTAAAATTTTATTTCATTAGTATTTTACAGTTCTTCCTAAACGAAGTTCGAGTCGAGAGTAAAAAAGAAAAAATTAACACGGTATGGACAACTTAACTTGGCAGTCCTTCATCACTAAATTTTATGTGGTGATTAATGATATTTTTATTTCGATAAACATTGAAAACGAGGGAAAAAGAAGAATAAGAAAAGCTAAATATTATTAAAATTTCAGGTAAGGTGCAATGCATATTATAGCTCTAGTATTGGGAGTTAATGAAATCTGTTGGAATTGAACAGCCATAGCACAGTCCTTCACTGCCAGTTCAACACCGCCTGTTTCTTGGCATGAACTACCTTGGTCTTCAGGATTGGTATCATTCAATTTTAGCGATGGGATGATGCCTATTTTCTGCTTTGGAGCACAAATTTGAACACAAAAAATACTGCTTCCTTTCATAAAACACAGAAACAGCAAGACGAAACCAAGAAGATTCCTTCAAAGATAGAGAGAGATGTACATCGAGACTCTATCACTGAGCAACTCTGAGGACAATTTAACATGTTCTGTGACTTGACAGATTACTTTCTTCAGACCTTACCTCTTGAATTTGTTTGTCTAATCCACCAATGTCTGAGTACTGTTCCGTTGGCCTTTCATCGACCTCCATTGCTTTTACACGTGCATCATACTCTGCTGGAAGAGTTTCAAGAATCAAATAGGAATCTTTATTTACACCAACCAAGTCGCCTGGTTTCAGTTTTTCAGCATCAACCAACCCAATGACCGGGAGGAAATAAGTCTGTTGATATAAATAGAAAGTAAAACATATTATAGGACTGGAAAAACACATATTTACATAATTTATCACACAATTAGATTTGCAATTGAATTTGTACTTCATTTCATATGATGGCCTTTATGCTCTGCGAGTCATCTCAGTAATGATTATGCCAGTCCCATACCTCTCCAAAAGCATAAGTTTTGTGATAGGGGAGTACTAAGTTCCAAAACCTCAACAGTTTCTTTCGATGTGGTTATTTCGCTTTATGGAGCCTATTTTCGTTGTCGATCGGTAAAACATAGGCGCTGCGGCTGAGCATAATCAATTGGAAAAGATTTGAGGTTAGACTTTTGAAATTGATGCTGTTCGGATGCTTTCATTTGCATTAGGTCATTTCTAAATCCTACTTCTTTTGAAATTTACTTTTGGCTCCAACGTTAGCATGAATTCCACCTTCTATTGTTTGGTGAGTCCTGATTTGGTTCCAAAAAATTATGATCGAATTGAAGAAAAATATAAAATTTTAAAATCCACCCATTTCGACTTGAGCCATCAACAACGAAAATAGGCTAATGGTCAAATTCTTGATTTGGCTGAGTGACAGCAAAACGGCAAATTACATAGGAAAATAAGTATGTGATTTGTCCCACTTTTTCTGAGTAATGAGGAGGGAGAAAAGTCACTTTTGAAAATGGCCTCGCTGCTCAAGATGACCCTCACATTAACTGCAGCCCTCAAATCAAATAATTGAATGTTTTTGCGCATCTGGTTTTTAGGTAAGAGGGCATAAGATATTACTTATTTCCTTTGATTGTGAGATGGATGTTTTACCTGTCGAGTGGAAGTTTTGATGACAGCACACTTCCCCTTCCTTTGGGCGTCTAAATCTACTACAGCTCCATCTTCTTCGGTATCTTGAGGATCAATGTCTAGCAACTGAAAAATTAGAGCGATAATGAGGTGTGGCAAACACAAGTAAAGAAGAGAACAATAGCGGGAGAAAAATGTTTGACAAGACTAAAATTCAAGAATTTTACTTGAAAAAGATAACAGAGCCTTCGGAGATTTCAGTGCAGGTTAAAAAGGGATTGAAACTTAAAATTCTACAGTCTATTCAATATAGGTACTTATCAGCTTAAAGGCAAAGAATTAAAGAGTTCTTCCTTAGCTCTCTTTTGCTTTTTTTCTGATTTAAAAAAAAAAAAATCCCTCCTTCTAGAGAAATTTTAGTGAAAAATGGACGAACACGCAGTAGGTTTGCGTGTTGCATAGATTCTTTTAGTATTGATAAGTTCAATCAAAAGATGATCAAATGGATTTGAGCTTCACAGAAAATCACGTAATTTTAGAATGACTCCTCACCTGCATAAATGTTTTAGAAAACAATGGAGACTTAACAAGTGATGCATTTGCTAGTGGGGATCCTAATATATAATATGTAAGGCACAACGTTTGAAATTAAAAACGTTCCGATTGAAAGTCACAATTGACAAGAAATCATTCTGTAGAAAAACTCAAGTAACCGAAACCTGGATATCTTTACAACCATTAAAAATTCAACCCCTTAAAATAAAGATGAATGGTTATTGAGTTGAAGCTCCTTACCTCGATAACATTTGAAACTAGGTACGGTAAAGTTTTGTTGACTTTGATCTTCTCGGTATTCTCCTTTATCTTCTCTGTCTGAGTTTGTAACTCATGCGAGATCCTCATAACTTCACTTTTCATGATTTTTACTTCATTATCCAGCAAGCGTGTTCTAGAAAGAATTTCATCGGTGCTCATTCGAAGCACTTCCTCACCTAACTCCTGTGCACAAAAAGATTTCAACAGTTGTACACTAGTATTGAATAATTAGGTCTATTTCAACTTATAAAAATGGGACACATAAGATATAAACATAAAATTTGGACACCTGTGCTCAGTCTTTCTCGGAGAAGATTTAAGTGGTGGAGCCCCTCTCATTCCTTAAGTTATTTTCTATTTCACCACCAAGATGTTCAAATTCTTATTCCAGAATATTTTAAATGATTACAGGGCATACTGAGAGATTGATGAATCATTAGATACCGACATCATACTGGAAATCTCTGCATTAAATTCTCATGAAAATCTAAAATTGCCACAGAGCCTGGACTCAAAATTACGCATGCTTAGCGACTTTAAACATCCCTTGAAAGCTTTGCATGAGAGCTTTCATAAGTCAGACCTTAGAGAATAGTGAATACAGTTGAAAGCCTGCGCTAACATCCCCTGACCAATGAGCGGTCTGGGGCGTTGTGGAAAATGCTGAAACCGTTCTCTCAAAATGGTAGTACTGATGTTTTATTGCGATCAACCATGGTCCAAGAACAGAAACAAGCTCGGAAGAAGGGGAATGGCTGGCTATTAATTCTCTGCCAGTATGGCAATATTGACCATTGAATAACTGCATTATGATTGGTTTTCATTATCATCCTAACTAACTACCGCCCTGCTTGCATGGGCAAAATCATATTTATACTATGGAAAAAAATGAATCTGATGCTTCCAGAGAACAGTCAATCGTGATGCTCCACTGAACGAACAAAGGCCTGTCGACGGTGTTTGGTGTGGGGCAGTTTTGTCTGATTTCGCACGACTATGGTGGCATTCTTTCCATCCCCATGTACCAAGAAAATTTATGTGCTGATCATCCACAGGGGAAGAGGAAATAATTCAATAAAATTAATCAGAGATTATGATATGTATTCATTGTTATCATTGAGGTAAGATAAGGCTGATTTGGAGGTTAGGAAACTGAGACAGAGCCTCACCCTGAAATATTTGAGAAGCAGTGGAGTAAATAACGTATGAAATAATAATTATAATTAAAACTAGAAATTAAAAAACTGTAGCTTACATCATTTTCCCAATTTACGGCATCCTCGAGCGTTCTGCTTGCTGTAGCCATGATTGCACTTTCCTAACAAAATGTAAATAAAATAATCAAATTCAGCTGATTCACGCCGCTCGCATTCACACACAACAGTGCTGCTCCAGACGGTTGAAGGGATAACTAAACTCTGTCGAGAGATTTGAGTGCATTCATAATCAGAGACAAAATGCGCCTGAAAATGCAGCAGTGGCAACTGTACTTGCATGCAGCTCTTTAATTACATGACGTACTACTTTAAAAATCATAATATCGATTTTTGCTCGAATCAGTGAGAAAAAAACGTCGTTGTAAGATAAAAGTCACTGTGGTTGTGAAAAAAAAAAAAAAATACAGAAGACTCCATTTCTGATTTTTGTTTTTTAGGATGATTTTCATGTCCTTTCTTACTATAGTAAAAAAAAATAAGGCCTTTTTTGTGTGTACGTCCGTGTCATTTCGCATTCTCATTGGTCTTTCANACCAATGAGAATGCGGAATGACACGGACGTACGCACAAAAAAGGCCATCATGTTTACTTTCCATCCATCATGTTTTATCCCATATAAACCGTTTCAAACAGATTATTCACCATATCTTAAAATTCCAAACTTAATTGAAGTAAGTTTGTAGCTAAATTGATGATGATGTTTTGAATGAATAAGTATCTAACAGAACTTCAGCAGTATCAATAAAAATTACAAGAATAATGGGAATTAAAAAAAATTATGTGATATTTTCATCATGAATTGACAGAATCTACGAGGGGGTTGGGCCGCGGAGCGGCCAGGGGGCGGAGCCCTCTAGTCTTCCAAAAAAATTTTTTTTTGTTGATCAGGTTTTGTCTCCATACTGACAAGAGTAAATACTTGCAAGGGAATGTTGACTCTTCTTTCATGGAACTGACATTCTGCTTCTAAATCATGTTTTATCCATAAGTCTTGCTAGACCTAGTCTAGATCTATTGAAAATGCAAATTTCGATCTGCTTCATTTGCAGCGACTGCTTAGCTTCATATTTTTTTGTCTTTTTATTTATTAATTCCTGAGGAACAAAATTAATTCATGTTTGTCTAAAGTGCTTACTAAAGATATATGATGGAGTTAGGCGGTTGAGATATAAAAAACAAGGTAACTCAGTGTGAGCGAGAGCTTGGAGGGATAATTCGCAAATTTGAGAAAACAGAGACAAAGCTGGCCAGCTTCAGAGACGATTATGCCATCATTCACAATGTGAAAAATGGTTTGAATCTCTGACCCGATGTTCTTTAGAGTATTGGGAGGAGTGTTGGAAAACTAAAAATAAATATTTTCTACCCTAGACCAGTTCTCCTGCTGCATTGAACAATGTGAGGTTCCATCTTGGGGCGCATTTGCTTGACCCTATCACATTTGTTTAGGTAAAGTAAAAGCTAAGATATTGAATAATCCTTCTCTCATCACTGTTTGAGGTTAGGAGGATAAGACAAAAAAGTCAGAGAATTGTTTGGTATATTTTTAAAATTCGATGATTTGAGCCAAAATCAATGCAAGCAGCAATCAAAGCTCAAACTGATGATGAGGCAAAACGGGTCTTAAAAGTACAGTCTTTTCTTAGAGATTATGAGTGAACAGGAGTTTTAATAAGAAATTTCTCTAAAGTATTCCCCCTGTTGTACTAATGTTTTTTTCTGAATCTTCTCCTATTGTGTTTGAAAGCTGCATAATTCTCGTGGACACCCTCCCTTGAAAAAATTCAGATAATACTGATTCCTTAGCTATTTCTGTAGAAAAACTTCTTTCTCCAGCTATACACCCAAGTTCCACTTAAACAGAATATGTTTCTGTGTTGTTTGAATAAAGTTTTTGAGAACAAAATCTGCAAGATTATGAAGGTCCCTAGTACTTGTATACTTTAATTCTGCAGATGTATTTTTGAAAATTAATTTTTCAATGAAATTGATAATGTGGAAAGGAAAATTCAGAAAAGTTGGGTGGGGCCAATTTTAATTTCATTAGAATAAAAACAAAACACTTAATGATTAAAATATCACAGATAGGAGGTAAAACTAGTAGTTATCTACAGTCCACTTCTGATGCAGGTGAAACATGGTGCTACTCCTCCGATACACTGGAAACTGAATTTTTTAAATCACCATTTCCTGTTAAAAATAAAAAAAATTGAGCAAAATTAGAATACTATTCCTCTTGAAGTTTTCAGGGAATCATTAGAATATAAATTAATTTGACGCCTGAAAAAAAAGTGTCAGATGTATTTAGTCTTCCTGTTTAAACACAAGTATAGAAGGGCTCTACATTACTTAGATTAAACATTATTCGAAGCTGTACGGCAGAGGCATGCGCCGATTTAGCTTCAGTAAAGCTTTCTGTTCCAGAAACAAAAAACATTACTTTAAGAATCTTTGATTAATTCCAATTTAAGAATGGCATTCACATAAAAATAATTTAGGTAACAGGATCCAAGTACGGAACAAGAAAGAACCATTTGGGTAAAGAGATGCTTGAAATTATTCAGTGGTTGAAAATTTATTTTTTTACAATTGACCTTCTTTGAGGAAGGAAATAAAAAAGAGAACAACATACTTTGCTGTCATAAATGTTTTCATTTCTTTCTTCATATTATTGGAAATTATAGTATGAAATATGACAATAGTGGAAAGGACGAAAAATTGAATATTCCAGTATATATTAACCTTTTGTAATTTTTCCAGTCAGATCATTCTTCTTAGACCTTTCTCTTTTAGTTTTAATGAGTATCCGGTGCCCTTCACAATCCAAATTTTCATTGTAGCATTTTGTCCGACAGCATACTTTGCAAAGCTTCTGCTCACATTTTGTACCCTGGAAAAGCGGAGAAAAAAAAATTACCACTCATAAACTACTGAGCAAACGACTCATTAGAGCATTTTCCATTTGAGATTTTTTAATAGACAACTTCCTTTGATACTCTGCCCTGACCTTCCCTTTCACTTCTAATTTACAAAGTTTGCAATCTGTGATCAGTTGAACTAATTGAAAACAATCTTAGGTAAGAATGGATTAGTTTCATTAATCACCGAATCTTGTTTTGATGATTTCAGATTTGAGATCAGTTAAAAATAAAAACATCAATGAGAGCACAAAATGTCAACATTCAATATTAACAGAGATATTACCTTTCAAAAAACAGTGCAAATGATTGCATTTACTACAGTGGCGCATGCCATGGTTTCATCTATGATTGAAGTGGAGCAACCAGCGAAAATGTGTGAATCACTAATTGATCAATGATCATGTCACATACTACCTTTTTTGAAAGGCGATGTCCTCGTTGATATTGAATGTAGAACCTAGGGGTTTCGATGGAGCTCATTGCTTTTTGCCAATCTATGAGCTTAAACCATGAAATAAGATTCTGTGACTAGCAAAATCTACCCATTACCTAAGAAAATTTCATTTAAATGATACAATACAGCTTGAAAATCTAATTCCTTACTGCCAAGAGAAAATTAGGAATCTTCCAATTTTGGGTTTCCACTCTTCAAAATCTAAAACTTAGATCTTCAGTTTCTTAATAAAAGAAAATAAGGCAGAATGTAAATTCACTAAATCTTGCAAAAATGGGATCAAATCATTGACTGTGAAAATAATACTTACTGCAGGATTCGAACATTTTGAGCATTTTTCAAAAGTGCGCCCGGGGTTAAAGTTTATTTTGCCGATCCGTTTTAATCTTTTCATCTTCTTTTTTGATAAAGGAGAACCTTCTCGTTTGCAGCATTCATTGATATTCTAAAAAAAGGAAAAAATGAGGAGGTTAAAATAAAATGTGAGCAATGCCTTGATCATTTCTTTAAAGTCAAATAGACTCTGACTCGAAAAAAAAAAAAAAAAAAAACTAACAAGACAGTATTTGAACGACAGAAGAGAAAAAAGAAAGATATCGGCTACAGAATTTCGAAAGCTGCTTTAGTGTCTTTCAGACTAACAAAATGACACAAGAAAATGGTTGATATTGTCACACACTGTTTCTCTTTGATACATACAAACAAAACCATTCTATATAGAGGTTCAGGAAGAAAGATAAAATTTCAAACTTAACTTTTATGGCATGTATAATTTGAAGAATGGAAAATTTCTCTATTTCTCACTTGGTATCACGTTAAAATATGAAAAATTGGAGTCCAACTCATGTTTCAAACGATTATCAAAAATGGATCTCAAACAATCATATTATGCAGTTCATTACAGAAAGATTTTTTTTTAAATTAAAGACTTCGAGAAACTACTTTCAAAGTACTCGCAATCATGTGGACTGGTGAAAAAAATTCTTTGACGAACAAAACTAAAAATCATAGTGCAAATCTGGAAAGTACCTCTTTTTCATTTTTGGAATCTCTTAATCTGCATTCTTCCATTTTTTTCAAATGATCCTCAGGGCTAATTCTTACATAAGGCTGACACAACCAGGGAGGAAGCCTTAAATTGTAGTCTGAAACGAGTGCAAATATTCATTTTTCAGTAGAAAGCTCAAAATGTGTCTTAATGGTGTACAAAATTTTCAGCAGTGCCTTCTATTTCATTTCCTAAAGTGAAATTTGGATATTTTGAAAGAAAGACTTCAACATTTAGAGCTGCGCAAATGAAGAATTTTGAATACAAATCAAATACAAGAGGAAAAGATGAAATTATACCAATCTAGTGAATGATTACAAATAGATGATTTAAAATTATGAAAGTAATACAGAATTTTGTTAATTAAATTTAATATTTTGATTTTCTCCTGTTAATCACTTTGTTTTTGGTTGATTTTATACATGTGCTTCATTTTTTTATGCCTGTTATTCAATTAAATTGTTTATTACTTCTGTCATGTACATAATTTTATAAACATGATGAGAACACCTCACAATCTTAATGCTATTGAAAACCTGCGCATGAGAGACGCAAAACCTCTTGGGGCATTGGACCCTAGAACGGTCAGGGGGCACAGTAGTGGGATAAAAATGTAACTTTCCACTCTTTGTTGGTATAAAAATAAACTGAACTACTTGAAACTTATTCTTCAGAGTACCGAAGAGAGCATTCCATTTAAAACTCAAAAAACAAATATTTGACCCTTCTTGCCAAAATTGAATTCTCAAAAAAAGTGCCTCTACAAACAAAGCTAGTGCTTTCCTGATCAACAGTCATATTTAATTATTTTTATTTTCCTTGAAAAGTAATGAGATTAAAAATCAGCAGAACTGCAGGAGCCAGATATTGATGGTGAAACTGCAAAAAAGCTTATCTTGGTTCAAGTGAAATCTCCGCTCCTATTTTATTTTTTAATAGGAGACCGAATCGACATCATGACTTGAAAGTTTCGCAAAGTATTCTTCATATGGAGAGGGAAAGTCACCGAAGTTTTCAAGAAATGTTGTTTATTAGCTTTCCATGTAGAAAATGAAGTATGACAGGAAATCTGCAATGCCGCAACTGAGGTATGCATTCCTACAGTTTTTTCATCAATATGGGACCTGCGCCTAATATATACCAGAGAAATAAAACTTCAAAAGTTTTGATGTAAGATTTCTCTTGTTTTAATTAAATTGGAGAACACTATTGCCAGGATACCGCCCAATTTTGAGGTAAATTTAAACAATTTCATGAAATTTTGTACGAAAAATTTCATAACACTATTAATGAAATTTAACGGACACTATTAATGAAATTTTTTATCTCTGAATGCATCGATCATACAGCCAAACTAAGAGAGGGTTACTGTACCTAGCTGTTCAAGATTGTATGGAACTTTTCCAGCATGGATAGGGGCAAACTGTTCTTTGATTTTCGCTATTACTTTTATGAAGTCCTCAACTGACTGTCCTTTGGCTATACCTGCTCGGAGATCAAATGTTTCCGGTAAAGAGAACCTGCAAAAGAAAAAATAGTGTTACTAGTAGGTTCAATCGGCGATACATGCTTTACAAGCGAAAAAAAAGAATGTTATAAATAAGATCCGATAAAGAATTGTCCAAAAAATGAATATCTTAGGGCATGATAAAATTCAGAGAAAACTTAGTAGCTGAACAATAACTTGTTGATTTTTGGAATGTGTACAAGTAGTAAGACAGACTTGATTCTCATTATGCTACTTCTGCAACAGAGAATTATATGCATACATACAGTGCTGAATTTGAGTGAGGGTGTTTCTAATTTCTAGCAATGAAAAATGGAGGGAGTGATTCATTGTAAATCTCAATCAACAATAGAAGTAAAGCATTTTGTGATCCAACTGGTTGTTATTTTCATTTTCTTGCTCCTCTTGCAGGTTGAGGAAGTATTGTCATCGTCTAAGAAAAAAAAAGTTAAGAATTTTTTTTCTTTTGATCTAAGGGAGATTGGATGGCTGTAAATTAGTAAGGGATTATTCCACTTGAGTTTATTTGCAGAATAATTTTCAACAGAATTTTGTTAAATTTTCAATGTAATATTTTTCATTTTGAAAATGATCGCAAATTCTGAAAAAAATTGCCAGGGGATTACAGGGCCCGATTCCGAACTCTCATACCTAATAAGACTTGAATGATCTCACCTCAGTTGTGGATTTTTAAACTACTAGATCTAAAATTGTTTAGCCATGTAAAGCTACTATCAAATTAACGGAAACCAAGGAAAAAATGACTAGTAATGCTAGCTTTCTTCTCTACATACAAGTTTTGAGAAAATGATGAAATAAAACTTACAAAGTTTGGAGAATTTTAAACAAATGGCCACGAGTGTATGATGTGGGACATGGATGTAGTAAAACAAAATCTAGGTACTCTGCAGCAGCTTCCCAAACAGGAGGATTTAAACCCTCGAATATACCAGGATTGTATAAATTGCCCTCTGCTGACATGACACCAACACAGCCTGTGTGCTCTAAACAGCGTTTGATATCTTGAAGGCACTGAATATTACCGTTCGCTATCACTGGAATGCTGACATTTTCTCTGAGGACAAAAAAATAAAAACCACTTATGATAATCTTAAATGGAAAAGAAATGTAGCAATATTAAAGTATATTAGGTATAAAATATTACGTCAGAGTTTAAAAACGTTAGAGGTGACTTCAAAAACAGATCTGAAGACAGAGAGTAACTACTCATAATTTCGTAAATTATTTTTCCTATTATCCTTCTTAGAGAGTAACGAACTCTCTCAATAGAGGTGCATTTTATGTTTTCATACAAAAACCAATGTGTATTCTTTCCAGGTTTAGAAGTTTTCAAAACTTGTAAAAAATAAATAGGTATTGTACTTGAGATTCAGTTTGGGAAGACCAGGGCAATTATTATTTTTTTTTTTTTTTTTTTTTCACAAGAAATGAAAATTGGCACAGAGTCCTCAAGGGGAGACTTCTAATAGTTTAAATAAAATTTGCATTGAGCCAACATGATCAACTGATGCGCAACTTAAAGTTGTCCTCATGATCTGGTTACACTGCGTAGCGCACTAGAAACCTTTTTTTTCTTCGAAAGGACCACCAGATCAATATTGGTAAAATGATTACCTGACTGCTTTAATATGATCCCAACTTGCCACACCGGTGAGTGGGCCTTTTTGCTCCCTTGTACGGCCATGAACCGTCAACATCTGACAGCCAGCTGCTTCCAACATCTGTGCATACTTGATCGTATGGTCAATGTTTTCAAAAACTCTAATTTTGCAAGTGATGGGTATCCTTAAATTATCGCGAAGAGTCTTGACTGGAAGGAAAAAAAACAGAAAGACATCAAAAAAAGGAGAAAAAGGGATTCCAGTTTAAATACTTTTCAGTAAATTGCCTAACTTGTTGTTGTGTACATGTTATGTTATATCCACTGTTTATTTCCAAAGTTTAAAAAAAGTCGAGATTCATTCCGCAGACAGATTATTTAACACTTCTGCTTCCTGTATAAAGACTCATTTCATTATCTTGTAAACTGATTACATCTTGTACTTTTACATAACGGCTATTTAAGTTAAATTACACCTCTTGAACATTGATAGACGTCCTCTGACAGTGCGTTCTAGATTTACTGTCCAGATAAAATAGTTCACTTTCCTCTTTCGAAATTCATCTGTTTCATACATTAAAAAAATATCCTGTAGATTTTGAAGCTGCATAAAAACTTTAAAGATGCTGACCCTAAAGTTACCAAAAAATGGGAGGTTTCGAATTTACTAAGAGTAACCTGGTTTTCGAGTCAAAAGGTAGCCATTGAAAGACTGCCCTTTAGAAGGCATCAACATATACTTTTAGTGAAAGCAAATGATTCAAATTTTCATGTGTTTGGAAACAAATACTTATGCCTTCATGAATAAAATATTTAAGGACCAGAGTGTTCGAAGCAGAGAATGTAGCAAACAGATTTCTCCTTTATTTATTTATATTTATTTTTTCTTTTTTAAAAAAGAGGGGAAAATATCAGTAACTTGGGGCTGTTTATTCCAGGGCGCTTTGATCAAAATAATTTTTTCAACAAGTTTAAACGAAAAACATTGGGAAGCTGAAGTATTCATTTTAACAGCTTACTTACCCATTTTTGTCAACAAGTCCCATTCGTCTTGTAAGAAAGCACCATAGTGACCTCTTTTCGCTATGGACTGGGGGCATCCAAGATTAATGTCTATGGCATCACAGTGTGGCTCTACGATGCGAGCTGCTTTCAAGAGTGTCTCTGCATCATTTGCACAAAACTGTCAAATAAAAGAAAGATCAGAACTTAATACTTGAAAGAAGGAGAAAATTATATTGATTCAGCAGATAGATGTATACTTATTCAGTTTGAGCTAGAGGATCTCCAAAAAAATAACTTTTGATCTTTTCTTTCAATTCGAGTTCCAGTTTCATCACTAGATTATAACATATCTATGAAAAGAGACAAAATTTTCCTGCGTACCTGAACAATTAGGGGTCTATCCTCCGAGCAGGTTTGAAAATTTTCCTTGCGGTACACCTTGTCTCTTGCAAAATTAGAGCTGTGGAACATGGGTGTATAGCATAACTGAGCACCATGCTTTTTGCTGAAAAGCCTCCATGCAAGTTCACTTGCATCAACCATAGGAGCCAGGATGAATTTTGGATGGCCAAGCGATTCCCATACATTTGACATCTAAAACACAAGCGCATCATATACATTAACACTATACTTAAATCCTTTCTTAAGAGAGTGATTTTATCATTTTGGGACCAATATACCATTCAGAGACTGCAAAACAAAACTAATCTTTTACCGGGGGCTGAGTGAAACAAAGCGGACTTTACCACAAGTTACAAGAAGAGTTACATATTCTTTGCTGTTGTCACCTAGAGAATTTGAAACACTTAAAAATTAAAATAAAGCTTCAGTTGGCCTCTAATGCATCATTCTTCTAAAGAGCTTTATTTCAGTTGAATTTTAAAGGGGGCATAATACTGCCAATAATTAGCTCCAAGAAAGGAGGAAAGAAAAAAAAAACTGTAGAAATTTGAAAAGATCTACCAAGATGAATGAAAATTGTCAAAAAAACTTGAATCTGTCCATCTAGAAAGTAAAGTTTCCTCCCTCGATACAAATGAATGTCTGGATGGTGAAATAGTGAAGGAAGAAAGACTGTATTGAAGTATCACGTCCATAGCATTGATAAGGTATTGAAAAAAAACTCTAATTTTTCAAAAAGGAGCAACTCTTGAAACAAACTTAAAAATGTACCTAAGTATGAACTAGGAACCCCCCCCCTTTTTTTTTAATTTTTAAGATAAATAAATGAAATTACCATCGTGCACTTTGATAAGTATCACTTAATTTGTGTAAATTTTAAAGAAAATTATGTATGGTATTGGTTTTGTATTTCAGATATTCATTTGCAGTTTCCAACACAAGAGCATGACTTGGGAGAAAAAGGCTAAAATTGACATTCAGAAAGACCGAAACATTTAGCTCAAACTCTTTGGGCATTTTCAATCGAAGAATTAAAATAAGTTAAAATCTAAAAAAAATTTTACTTGCAACATACTAAAACTGGGGAGAAAAAAAATTGGACAAATGTCACATTAGGAAATGGCACCATTCAACAGAAATTGATGTACTAACCTATGGGCCAACTGATGATTGATGCATTCAGACTGAGATGTGATTTTATCCAATCTCTTCTTTCCCTAGTGCGTTTCCCATCAACTTCAGAATGCAAGAGAATTTAGATCCTCCATTTTTCGGTAACCCTTTTTATCAACTTTTTTTAAATCAATTTTACTTATAAAAAGGCAAAAAGAGTTTACCAGTTGGTCCTTTTTGACAGTTAAGTATTTAAGTTTGCTTTTTGCTGCTTGAGGTATTTTTCAGTAAATGATATTATTTGAGGAATATTGATGACGTTAGTAATTTAAGAGACAATTTAAAGAATCCTCTGAAAGATTTAGAGCAGAATAGAAACCCTAGGTGAAGATATGTGTAACAGGGAAATTCAAGACTCTGGCTTGAAAGCCGAATCCAACGATGAGGACAAGTTCAGTCAGTGGAAAGGGAATAATTGAGCTGAGGAATTATGCAATACTGGATCGAATGACAGTGTCCCAAATTAATGAGACACCATCCAAATTATGCAAGTTAATTGCACGGTTCAACAAACTGACAGATCCCAACACCTCCTATTACTTTCAAGGTGCTAACCAGTGTTTTTGTCCAAATGAGAAAAATTCGAGACAGCATTGTTGGTTGTTTCACTTTGAAAAAATTAGAAATGGGGAAAAAATTTGCGACAACTCTTTTAGGGATATAGACTTTCAGAGGTTAGCCATTGCAGAACTATATGCCATAATGTGGATTATATTAAATCTTCCTTATCATTAAGGGCTTTCATTTAGGTTAAACTTGCTGGAAACAGATCCAAAGTACCTAGTGATGAGGACAATTAAACTACTGATTTGATTAATGGATAAATTATTTGAGCTTAGATGCACTTTCTTGAGGACCCCTGATATTTAAAACTCTCCATTGAATGTTAAATTTTTATTAATTGTTCAAAATAATGGTGAAAGAACTGTTCAAGTGAAAATCATAAATTTTTCAGGTTGCTCATTCGGATGGTTATACAGGCAAAAGTCAAAACTACATTGCAGTGTTTCAAAATATCATTTTCTATTTTAATTTTTTGGAAGGAAACCGATCAATATTGTCCTTAAACATTTTGTAGGAATAACCTTCAGGAGAGCAAGAAAAATTGCAACAATTTTTGAATGCAAATATTGGGAGGTTTCCTTTCAAAAAGTTTAAAAAACGAGAAAAAACACTGCAATGTAGACGTAACCATATTTCATGGTCTTCCATATAAAAGTTCCTGCGATACTTAAGAATCTTTTAGAGAAATCTAGAATTATAAAAAGTAACTATCACTCATCAAAGTGGTTTGAAGTGGTTCAATCTTTAAACCTACGTCTGAGATACCAGCATACATTATGTTTATAGCTGTTTACTCCCTCTTCATCCCCCCTTTGATTAAGGTAGAAGAATTACTTTGATTCAATTAAACTCGGGGATGACTGAAAAAATTAACAAGAATGATTTTAAAAAAATGTTGGTTTAATGGAAAAAGAAAATAGAAAACAAAGATGAAAAAATGACTGGAACACAACAAACATTTCAACAAATAAAAAAATATAAAGGACTACTTGTCAAAACTTAACACTCAAGATAAAATAAATACATTCACAATTCTAAAATGTACATAATTTCACAAGTCAAAAGTCTTAAAAATTTGAAAAATTTAATTCCGACATAAAACTCTACCTACTTCATGATTCTACTGAATATACAAATATTGTACGCTAGAACAGTTCAACATCTACACATTAAATAGAGTTAATTTTTTTTTTAAAAAAAACGAATATATTACAGTTTTTTCCTCTTTCAGGCTTGTGCAAATTATTCAGCCCTAAGAGGATACGGCATCGTTGTCTGAGAGGCCATCGACAACTGAAGCATTAACTAATTTCCTTGCTCGCATAAATTTTTGAATGGAAGAAAAATGAATCAAAAGAGAATGATATGAGTGAGGACAATAACTTAAGATTATATCTATCATGAAAATCAATTGAAAATGCATGGAGGGATTGATAGACACACATGTAAGTTCTTCTTCTTTTTAGAAAAAAAAATATCTGCATGGTAAATAATGATAATAATAATTAAAAATATAAATAAAAAATTAAAAAAAAAACTGTACAACTAATAAGATAGTGCACCTCAGTCTTTTGCTATTTCTCTTACAGAGACCAATCGACGGATTCAAATTTTTTTATTTCCACTGACTTTGAGTAGTGGAAGGGTGACATTAAATTCCTATTCCTTAATTGGGCAATCCAGACTGTTTGAACGACGTTAATGCCGCTACAATAGACAGCCAGATATATAATTCTTCAAAAAAGGCAAGAATCACTTTGTAATTCTTCAAAAGTAACAAGTGATCCCATACTATGTGTATTTTTCTTAAAAAATGACAAAGAAGAATTTCAAATGGGGAGCAACTGATACTAGTTATTCTGTATAAAAACTAAACACTCTGTCTCCATTTTCATTTTCCCTTCTAAAACACTGAGGTTTAATTCATTGAGAGCACTTTTTAGGTTTGAAGTATTGATCATTTTCAGAGATAGATAATATTGACAAAATGAAAGAGAAGGGAAAGCAGAGCATTGCATTTCAACAAAAATCTACATGAGGAATCAAGAAGACACATTCAATAGGGAGGAGGTAATGCAGATGTTTTTATCTTTGAGGCTGGTTTTCATCCGACAAATGGAATATTACCAGTGCTTTAGAATAACTAACATGAACTGAATGGAAAAAGAGATTTTTCTTTCTTAAATTCATAACTAAATGCTTCAAATGATGAAAAAAAAGGATAGATAAAACAAGATACGTAATTAATGAGTTTCATTTTAAATAATAACCTTTTAGTCACAAAATAACTTTATCGTTCTAGCAGTTTTCATTTGGAAATGCCTTGATATGGATACTCTTTTTGCTTTATTGGTTTCTTAAAATATTACTAAAGTATATGCTTACTCCGAATAATCTGAAATATTGCTAGACTAAAAAAATACCTACTTAAACAGTTATTTCTACTAATAATCGACAGTTAATGAGGTACAACTAAAAAATGTTATTACAAAATAACTACGGCTAGGATCGATGGCTTTGATATCACAGTATAATGACTTCATTTCATAGCTGATGACAATAAAGTGTGGACAAATCTTTTTGAGATGCAATGGAACAGTAATACGACTGGAAAATATGTGTTTCTGTCGGAAATTTCCCAATCAAAAATTGATAGAGATGTTCACAATGCAATGTCTTGAGAGGTTTCTACCTCAGTCAAGAAAATAATTAAGAGGAAAATAGTGAAAATATGTAACTCAGTTGAAAGTATAATCAATCTGTAATAAAATTAAAAAGCAGACAGACATTTTTTGCATGAATGCATGTACATGTAGTTTTCTGGTTAACTTTGAAGATCACAGAGAAACAGATAAAAACTTTCATGAAATGGTGATAGCATATCCATGGTCAACCATAAAAACCATGTGGGTACATCGATTCTCGCCGGTGTTTTAGAATTTCCGCTCTTACTTTACTTCTTTCAAGGGAAATTAATTAGATGACTAAATTGCTTGACACTTTCAAAGAATTTCCTTGAAACATAGATGACTCATGGAAATTTTGATGATGTTACGTCGACTGGTGTTCAGATTAAGATTTGAAGAATGACAGGGAGACCGTAATGTGAAAGTCAAGATGTATGGATTTTGGGTTCATCAATAGGTATGCAATTCAATGAGACAGGCGGAGATCTGCTTTTCAATTTTCACAAATATTGCCTGTTCATATTTCAATTCTCGATACAGGAAATGATACATGAGTTGCAAATTTCACAGCATGATTATGGTCTAAAAAAGAGGATGACAGTAGTAATCATATTAACCTTCGTGATGTTTCCTCTTTGAAACAATTATGATTTGAAATCGACAGACTGTATGCGATTAGATTCAAGATAATTACATGAACAAAAATCAGATGTTCAATTAAAAAGGCTGATGTAAAATTCAGCAAGAGATACATGGTTGAGATGAGAGGGAAGGACAGTGGGTTGTTTGGAGAGCTATTCATAATTTACACGTAAAAAACATTTCCATATTACACCATTAAAACCTACTTTATTGTCCTTCTTTTTTTAAAAATCTGAGGGGCATAAGCAAAAAATCATAAAACAGGTGATTAGCTAAATTGTTGATCTTACAAGAATGGTTGCACATGTACTATGAAACATGTCAAACAAGGGACTGATGTACGAGGTGGCATGCTCCATTCAGATGGAATCATCTCCAAGGTTGAGGACTCAATACTTTTTTTTTCCATACTATCACTCAAATTAAAATACCTAACATACCTAGATTGCAGAATGATCTTTCAGTAAATTTCAAGTGATCCAGTACCTAAGTGCTTTAAGTATATAATTTAAATAATAACTAATTTACGAGACTCAATCTCCTTACTTTTAAAATTACCTAGACCACTAGTTAAATGCTGAATTTTGAACGAAACTGGCAATATATGCTGCTTTGAGATGAATTGTAATCTGAACAGGTTTGGAGGGCTTTTTTGAGGCCTCTATATTAGCTGAGTTAAGAAATGTGGTTATGGACCTCCTTGTTTTGTTATGTCTTTTAAAAACACAATGCACATGGGATCCAAAGAAAATTAAACACGTACTTAAGTATCAGTTCTTTCTTCTTCAAGTCAAATATTTTAAAATTTCACCCATTCGACAATCATTGATGAATAAGAGTTTCTATTTTTAATATTTTCAATAAAACATTGTAATAATGCTTTGGTGCCTGGTGGTAATAATTTCAGGTGAAGAATTAAATCTTCACACACGCATTTGAACTATTGCTAATTTGCAATGAATTAACTTTGCTAGATAGGTATCAGAAAAAGAATGCCTAAACAGTACCTGACTTGATTAAAAAAGGGGGAAAATATTAAAGTCTATACCTACACCTGATATTTTGATTGATTTTCCAGGTATCAGCAGGATTCTTGGTTTTGCAGTACATCAGACACAATTATAGAAACAGTTTACCCTCTGATGGGTTGTGTGAGTTGGCAATGACCAAGGCTAAAAGTAATAATTATTAAAGGGTCAAGGCAAGAGATGCAAAATTGATAAAATGAAATTCGGTCGCATGCCCAGTGCCGGAAAAATCGATGGAATTTCATGGAAAATATCATGAAATTTCACTTTCATCTCTGATTAAAGCACATAATCATCATAGGTACAATTTTTCAAAAAAATTAAAAACTGGAATTGCTCGATCGAGGAGGAAATGAGAAGACAGCCTTTGAATCTTTCCACTTTAGTTCGTCCTGAAAGAGTTGTCAGTCAATGAAAAAGTAAATCTGTTTCTTAGTTTTCATGAACTGAGGTTATTGAATCTCTTATGCTGGAAATGAGTTACTTGGCAGGGTTTTCAGAAGACGATCTTTTAATTGAGGAGTGGAAGGATTGGAAAGTCCTGACTCGTGGATTGGAGACAGACTAGGAGACTTTGTTGGGCGGCATTGGGAATTGACTTTTTTCCGCAATTGTTTTCTTGCAGGATTTAAAGGTCTTTTGATTTGGGGGGTTTGAACAAAGGCAAGAACATCACCCAGTTCTTTCAAAGATACACTTTGAATTTGTCTCCTGGCTGGTGGAGGTAACGTTGGAAGTGGAGTGGATAGTCTATCTTTTGGTTTCCACAATATATCATCAGACGAACTTGTTTTCATCATGTTTCGTGGTATGGAGGGCTTAATTTGATTATTGCGAAAAGAGGGTGAGGATAAAACAACTGAGTCATTATTGTAACAAAATTTTGGTAACAATTTTATGTAGACACGCTTTTGCACTCCTCTTTGGCGTTTCAAAAATTTTAACTGATTTTTATTATAATTGCTTGTGCGGCGATGGCGGCTGATCACTTTACAATACCTGCATCCTTGACAGGTTTTTTGAAAAGAATTTTTCCTACTTGTGCTGATATTTGGTGATGCAAGAAACATTCGTTTAACAGGTGGTTTTGAAGCTGCTTTGACAAAATTTTCACTTTCACTACTATTGTAAATGGTGTCAATACTCTCGACGGAGAATTCTTTATCAAAAGTTCCTTTGTTACTCATGGAGGAAGTTGAGCTTGTGCGTCTATATTTCCCATTCTCGACATCAACCCCTGTGTTTCCCTCATTATTTTTTAATTTTTTACAGTTAAGGGGGTTTGAAATGTAGCTAGGACAATTTAGTCTTGATTTGCTTTTGTGCCAGAAAGCAGAGGTTGACTTATCAGAATTATTGATTGAAGGCTGTAAACTAGTAAGTGTATGAGCACTCTCGGAATTTGGAGGGGCAGTAGTTTTGGTTGACAACTGCCGGTAATTGCGAATGTACTCATACGTTGTAACTTTCAGGAAGGCTATATAAATATGAAAGAGGCACAAATGTGACAAGAGTCCTGCGGATACAGCTGCCAGAATACATAGTCCTACGATAACTATTAAAAATAAATTATCATCGATGGGTAAAGGTTTCTGAAAATATGCTGATGTGTTGAGTGTGGTGTTGAAAATTGATTGTTCGGTCCATGCACTCAGCCAGGCAGGATCAACATTGTAAAAAATTAATTCGAGTATTGAAAGAAAACCAATTGCAAGAGTGGCCAGGACAGCAGAGACAACACATACAATGAATGCTGTGTAATTCCTGCCACCAATGCAGTGGTTTAACCATTTGCAGTGGTGGTCAAATCTCTCAACGCATTTGTTGCAAATAGCGCAGTGTTTGGTGCGTGGACTAGACACTTTAATATTACATAAATGACAGCGTCCATTTTCAATCACATGAGCATGTTTTGAACGGTCAAATTCTGGTACAGCTTTTGAGCGTGGGTTAATTAAACGTAGTTGCCGATCAGCAGGATCAAGCAACAGGGCAGTTAAATGAGAGACAATGTGAACAGCAAACAAACACCCTAGGAGTGCCATGTTGAAAGGTTGCAAACTTGGGCCTAGGGAAGGTATCAGGACAAAAAAAGATCCAAAACCAAAGAGGAAAAGAGCGACCCATCCTCCAACTTGTTGCGGGTGCAGCGGAAATTGGAGTCCATGCACTCTTCGCCATTTCCTGTGCTCAATGGGGCTCAGACCATGTTGAAAAGAACAGCAACTCCGTTTGGACGAGCTATCTTCATTTGATGATGTCATCTTGAAAACTTTTGAGCAGAGAGGCTAAGAGGTGAATTAGACATTGAGCTTCTAAAAACTGTAGGTGCACAGCGGAGCAGTTCTGTCCTTTTGAGCGACGCACAAAAAACTCATTTTAAAAATAGTTTAATCACTAAAAGATCATGTGCTGAGGGACGAAATCAGCAAGGTACACTTGATCTAAATCACTTGATAAAATAGTAGTTTTCGGTCACTGTCATCATTTCATTTATTCACCGATCGGAGACAAAAAAAATCAACCGGGGCTAATTCAAGATAAATTGAGCTGCACAAAATCGACTGTTTCCATATCAAACGTCAAGGATACCCAAACTTGTACGAAAAAATCATGGACGGGGTGAAAACCCTTGATTCACTTTAAAAACTTGAGTTTCTCAGTAAGATCCGTAGAGACTGGATGAGGGGGCCAAGCGTAGGATAAACAAAGGATGCTTTGGCGACGAGACTAACCTACATCGGCGGAGGCAGTCGAGGAGTTGACAGATAGCGACGGCGATTGAGAAACGCGAGCGAAGCGAAGACTACACTCGACGATCCGAGCGTGAAAAAGAGAGAAAACGAAAAGTATTATAATAGGTAAGAGTTGAGTTAATGTGATATGCTTGAGGAGTGACGATGCGCATCGCTATTGCCGCACCGACGATATAATTAAGTCCGTCCAGATTCCCACCGCACGATAAGAGGAAGGAAGAGCCTCGGGTTCCGCGAAGAAAACCCGGGAAACGCCGTCGGAAAGGGAGAAAAATTGCGGGCCGACGGAAGGTCGCGACACAGGGGCCCGGGGGCACGATGAGGAAATTCCGCGAGCCGACACGGAAATAAAGGGATGAAGGGTTTCAACTCGGAATGGATGGAGTCGAGCTATCGATCCGACCCCTTTCAGGAAACCTCAACCCCTCTTCCTGAATGGTAATGCTCAATCCGAGCTGCCTCCCCCCCTCTCCCTTTCCCCCGGGCCTGGAACTTCGTCCCCGTGAATTCGTCGTTCCCGCTGAGAGGACTTGCGCGGCAGGCAGCCAATGGGAAGCTCGCGCTTTTTTCGCGCAAACTGATGTTGCCGGTCGCGGTCGCTTGGTGGCGTTGACGGACGCCATGGATCCCTAGCGGTGTTCCATGACTTCGCACTGTGGGGAAGGTTTTGTACAAGCCCCCCCCCCCCCCCCCCCCCCCCCCCCCCCCCCCCCCCCCCCCCCCCCCCCCCCCCCCCCCCCCCCCCCCCCCCCCCCCCCCCCCCCCCCCCCCCCCCC